ACCCCCAAAATGCTTCCACCGGTGGAAGCGTTATTTTTAACCGTTGGATTAAATTTTTCAGAGTTAAATCTGTGCATGTTTCTATTAAAAATTTACAACGCGCCGCACAGAATTATTCTCTCTGCAGATTGGCCGTTGAAAATTTAATCCAACGGTAAAAAGTAACACTTCCACTAGTGGAAACATTTATGGTTTATTTACTTATCAGGAATGGGGAATGGGAATTGGGAATCGGAATCAATCTCATGTTTACTTACCTATTTTTATCTTGAAATGGAAGTGGACATGTGTAGGTCCCACACCAATTTGGGGTTAAGAAATTGGATTGGCACTCCCCCCACTCCTCACCGGATTGGCACTCCCAATCTAATAGTAAATGTTAATTACGATTTTATCCTTAATTCTACTAACAAATTTGTGAATAGAAAAGTAAAAAGTAAACAATTGAAAAATGTCAGAATTTACTTTCACGCCTCTCTTATCTCCTTACTCACTTCCTCTGATTTTTTTTTCTTTTCTTTCTTTCTTACTAGTGCCATGGACGAATTCATATCAATGCAAATAATTAAATGCAACTCACATAGTTTTCTTTTTCATGCTTATAATTTGATTCTTGTGTTATGCCTATTGCTTTTCATTTTTCAATCTATATCCTAAGCTGATTTTTGTTTTCTATAATATGCAATGCAATGCTAAATCTAATTTTATATGTTGATAATGTAGAGTAAACATGTCTCAACTTTTAGCACAAAAGAAAAGAGTGATTAACAAAATCTAATTACTAATTAGTTATCCTAATTTAGATGATTAATTATGTGTGATTAAAAAAATCTAAATACTAATTAGTTATCCTAATATTAAGATAGTTAGCATAATACACAATTTCTTTTTTTTTTTTAAGTTCAACACACAAAAATCTACTAAAAGGCTAGGTAAGTAAATTTATAATAGTTTATTCTGATTCTAGGCGTAAGTAAACGCATGAATGGGATTGAAACTGATTTCGATTCTGATTCTTGAAACCTAAATAAACAGCTTATTCTGACCCTAATTCCTGACCACTCTAAATCTTATCCACTCTGATTTATGTCCACTTTAATTACGAATAAGTAAACATGTCATTAAAGGGTTCCATCGTAAAGAAAGGCATAAAAATAAGCAACCCTAGTCTTCAAAAAGTAGAAAGCACCAATCAAAGTACGATCACGTAGCTGTATCCAATTACATAAGACAAGGAAATGCTAGAGTTATAAAGATAAGATTGTTTTAATTAAACCACTGCTATTTCTCTTTCACTGTTATTTATTTATTTATTTTTGTTTTTATTTGCTTTCTTCTCTTTCTATGATGCTACCAGAAAAGTCCAGCCAAGTTTTTATTTTTTATTATTTTTATTAGTTTTTGTTTATTAAATTAAGGCCTTGTTTGGTCAAATAAGTATGGTTTTGCTTTTTGGTTTGGTGTTTAAACCAGGTGAAAACATGAGATGACTTCAAAAATTATGAGTTATTGTGTCGTAGCAAGGTCCAAGTCTATACTTTAAAAATCGTCCGTTGGACTAAAACTATTAAAAATTAAAAGTCCAGAAATTAATATGTAAAAATTAAAAGTTTAAAAACAAAATATGTTTAAAGTTCAGGACTAACAATCTCAATTACTTTTTAATTAATAAAATTTTCTTCAGTACGTTAACATATCAATTGATTAAATTTTTTGTCCGTTAACATAAAATCACGTAAAAATAAAAAATTACACATATTTAACGGTTAAAAAAAACTTACTAATACGTTAAATGTACTATAAAATCTCTTTTAATTTATAACTTTTTTTATTTATGTCAGAGTGTACTGTATTCAAATCCTGACTTAGTGATAGCTCTGAATTCTGAAATATATTAAATTTTAGGAGGGTTGGATAGGTTAAGAAGCGGCTCAAAGAGTACTTTTAACAATGGTTAACGGTCGTTAAATACCAAATTTCTACTAGTGAAGCATAAAAATTATATATATAAAAAAAAATTGTATGATATGGTATCGTTATTGATCTAATCAAAATAAATCATAATAATATAAAAATTACCCAAAACAAATAGTGTGTATATATATAAATATAACATTTTAAGACTCAGAAGAAGAAAAAAAAAAGACAAAGCTATATCAGCATTCTTTTTTCATATTGTAAAATTCTTTATATGTATTTGGTAGTTTTTGAAAACCATAATACTGCAATTTTTTATAAACCAAACCATATTGTAAAATAGTATAGCATTATGCCCCACTGAAATTAAAGGCTAGCTCTGTCACTGGGCATCTTAGGGCCCATTTGGGAGAGTTTGTTCTTTCACTTTTAAATAGTAGAAGAAGATAAGCATGTGTCAGAATTTACTTTCACACCTCTCGTATCTCCTTACTCACTTCCTCTGATTTTTTTTTTCTTTTCTTTCTTTCTTGCTAGTGCCATGGACGAATTCATATCAATGCAAATAATTAAATGAAACTCACATAGCTTTCTTTTTCATGCTTATAATTTGATTCTTGTGTTATGCCTATTGCTTTTCATTTTTCAATCTATGTCCTAAGCTGATTTTTGTTTTCTATAATATGCAATGCAATGCTAAATCTAATTTTATATGTTGATAATGTAGAGTACAAAAGAAGAGAGTGATTAACAAAATCTAATTACTAATTAGTTATCCTAATTAAGATGATTAATTAGGTGTGATTAAAAAAATCTAATTACTAATTAGTTATCCTAATATTAAGATAGATAACAAAATATACAATTTCTTCTTCATTTTTTTTTTAAGTTCAACACATAAAAATCTACTAAAAGGGTAGGTAAGTAAATTTATAACAATTTATTCAGATTCTAGGCGTAAGTAAACGCATGAATGGGATTGAGACTAATTTCGATTCTGATTCTTGAAACCTAAGTAAACAGCTTATTCTGACTCAGATTCTTAACCACTCCAATTTATATCCACTCTGATTACCGATAAATAAACATGTCATTAAATGGTTCTATTGTAAAGGAAGGCATAAAAATAAGCAACCCTAATCTTCAAAAAGTAGAAAGCACCAATCAAAGTACGATCACGTAGCTGTATCCAATTACATAAGACAAGGAAATGATAGGATTATAAAGATAAGATTGTTTTAATTAAATTATAGAAGTAAGCCTAGACTTGTGTCAACCACCGGACCCAATGTGAAGAGGAGTTCAACTTTTTGTTAGTTGGAGTGAGCATAATCTTGTAAAAATAAGGGTTATATTTATTTAGGATTCAGGTGGCTATCAGTCAACCACTGCTATTTCTCTTTCAGTATTATTTATTTATTTATTTTTGTTTTTATTTGCTTTCTTCTCTTTCTATGATGCTACCAGAAAAGTCCAGCCAAGTTTTATTTTTTATTATTTTTATTAGTTTTTGTTTATTAAATTAAGGCTTTGTTTGGTCAAATAAGTATCGTTTGAAACTTTTTAGTCTAAAACATATTTGGTTTTGATTTTAAAAATGTGATTTAGAACTGTGGTTTCGCTTTTTGGTTTGGGGTTTAAACCAGGCGAAAACATGAGATAAGTTCAAAAATTATGAGTTATTGTGTCGTATCAAGCTCCAAATCTATACTTTAAAAATCGTTCGTTGGACTAAAACTATTAAAAATTAAAAGTCCAAAAATTAATATGTAAAAATTAAAAGTTTAAAAAATAAAATATGTTTAAAGTTCAGGACTAACAATCTCAATTACCTTTTAATTAATAATATTTTCTTCAGTACGTCAACATATTAGTTGATTAAATTTTTTATCCGTTAAATCTACATAAAATCACGTAAAAATTAAAAATTACACATATTTAAAAGTTAAAAAAAACTTACTAATACGCTAAACATATTATAAAATCTCCTTTAATTTATAACTTTTTTTATTTATGTCAGAGTGCACTGTATTCAAATCCTGATTTAGTGATAGCTCCGAAGTCCGAAATATAAAGCTCTCAAAAAATGTCTTTTTTTTTTTTTTGCTACAGTTAAAAATTTTTAAAAAATATCACATTTCTATTTAAATTAAAATTTTAAATCTACAAAGTGAACTAGGCCGGAGTGTGCATGAATAACTGGCATTTGGTCTACAAGGCAACTTCTCTCGTCTTTTCTTTATAAAAAAATAAAAATAAAAAACCAGCAGTTTGGTGCCATTTGCTTTCTTCTCTTTCTACGATGGTTTTAGAGAAGTTCGGCGCAGGGTTACATATATACATATATAAATATATATATATATATATATATGGAAATTGTCTCTGGTCAAGCACTTTTCCTTGAAAAGTGTCTGATTAATCAGGTACTTATATAATCGTATATAAATTATGTATATTTATACGTAAATTATGTATATTTACATTTAAAATCGTGTATATTTAATATGAAATACAATAAATCAGTTAATATACATATTTTTATTTTATGTGTTCACTAATTGCTATAAAAAAACATGTTTTGAGAATTAATATATATTGTCATTTTTTATAACTTAACATACATGATTTATATGTAAATATACACGATTTACATATAAATATACACGATTACATAATTATACAAGTGTCATATAAATATATACAACTTACCTGTAAATATACACAACTTACTGTAAATATACACATTTCATACAAAAATGTACAAGTACCATTCTGGTCAGACACTTTTCAAGTGTCTGACTGACTAGAGACCTTGCCTATATATATATATATATATATATATATATATATATATATATATTAAACAAAACTTAAACACTAAACGGATCATAGGAAAAGGGGCCTTAATAAATTCTCTTTAAATGTGTATATTTTTTTTAAGTGGGTTGGGTGAGTTAAAGAACCGAGTCAAAAACTTGTAAAGAAGCTTTAGTATCCGATCAGCCATTAGCATTAATCTCTCTGTGTTGTGATTCATGGAGGGTATAAGTTTAAGCACGTTCTCCTTTTCGTTCTGGTCAGCAATGACCCACCAAAGGCACGACGTGTTCTTGAGTTTCCGTGGAGAAGACACACGCCATGGCCTTGCCAAGGAGCTCCACTCGGCCTTGCAGGAGGCCGGGATTCCCACCTTCCGAGACGACGTCAACCTCGAGAGAGGAACACACGTCTCCTCCGAGTTGCTCAAAGCCATTCAGATGTCAAGAGTCGCCATCATTGTTTTCTCCAAAAACTATGCCTCTTCCAGCTGGTGCTTGGACGAACTTGTGAAGATCCTCGAATGCCAACAAGTAGACGGACAGTTTGTTCTGCCTGTGTTTTTTGACGTCGATCCCGATGATGTTGGCGGACAGACGGGAGACTTCGGGAAAGCTTTTGAAGATCGTTTTCGATCAGACACGAAGGTCGCGAGCAAGATCGACAAATGGAAGGCAGGGCTTGCTGAAGCTGCAATGTTACCGGATGGCTTCAGTTTGCATGATGGGGCCCAATGGTAATAATCCCAAACGCTAGTGTCACCTTTTTTATTTTTTTTATTTTTTGTCCATTTATTATTTAACACGTAAACTCCATTAATATAACATACATAATATATTATTATTTAAATAGAAAATTAGATAATAGAATACACGTGTCAAATAGTGAGGACATGTTTACTTTGCATCAATAATAAAGATTTAGTGAGCCCTACATAATATAAAGAATGAAGAAAGGAATGTCAATCCTTACACCCCCTTAGTATTGATTCCTTGTCAAAAAAATGAATACTAAATTTACTTATTCACTACGTAATGAATTAGTATATAGTCAAAGATTATTTAATTGTATAAAATAACATTTTAGTGATTACATTCACAACATTATTATTCCTAATTTTAAAACATAAGAAAGAGAATAAAGTTATTTCTCATTGCATAATCTAATTATTAAATAAACACTTAAAAATGAATGAATGACCATTAATCATATTATTTTATTTTTCTTTTCAATTCCATTACCTTTTTTATTATATTCATTTATGGTTTAATAAACAAGCCTTAATATATAAAGTATAACTATTGCATTTTAGTTTCTGGTGAATTTTAGCTGCTGCTTCAAATTTTGTTTGTGGTATTCGTACTTTTTGGTAGTTTTACTTAATACTTCAAAATAGATTAGTTTTTGGAGCATCGTGTCATTAATCATTATCCTGCTACCAAAAGCTAAGAAAAAGTAAAGAGCCAGACAAAATGGTTTTAAATGCTTTAAATGGTATGTTCCAATAAAAACTTCCCGTTGTTATCATCAATGACAAGATCTTGTTGGCTGTAGCAGCCCCCTTTTATTTTTTATTTTTTATTTTTTTGATTTTCTATGCAACTTAGCAGTTAGCAATCACATTATATCAAAGTAAACTCTTAAATTCCCTACATTAGAGCTGATATTCATAGTTTTGGTTCCAAAATTTTTTTTTTTTTTTAAATTTTTTATGAGAAAAAGGGTTTTGTTTCAAATCTATGAAACAAACACATGCTTACTTTTCTTCCGCTATCTTTCTCATGGTTGATCTGAAAAAAGAAGTCTAGCTATTACACAGAATTCATAGACGATTTGGAAGTCTATTAATTACCATCTTCTACTAGAAAAATAAGCCTTGTTTTAGTCATGTCACTATCTTTGTTGTACGTTTGTACTTTGTCACATCTCACTCTACCTTAACGAGTGCGACTTAGAATTAACACTTTTTTGTTCTTCATTCACATATAAGTAGTTTAGGGTGCGTTTGGTTCAAGAATTCGTATCATGGTTCGTGGCTCGTTACAGTATTTTCTCTCACAAAAAACACACGTAAATCGAGAATAGTTCTGAATCATGATTCTGAATCTATCAACTAAACGTTTCATTAGTTAGTCATACTCAAGTTTTTGTCATACTTGACAGGGATAACTCCATGTTCATAAAGGAAATAATAAGTCAAATTTCGTGTAGACGTCAAGATGCTCACATGTACCTCCATCTTCAACCTACAATGGATTCTGGCAAAGATTACCTGAACCACTTATTAAGCATCGCCGCAGATGATATTCTCATAATAGGCATATATGGAATCGGTAACATAGGGAAGACAAACCTTGCAAAAGCTGTATATAACCAAAATTTGTATAGTTTTGATGGTAGCAGTTTCTTGGCCAATGTGAACAAGGTTTCGGAACGTCCTAATGGACTTCTCAAATTGCAAGAACAGTTACTCTTTGACTTATTGGATGAAAGTATAGAAATAAAAGATGTTAGTATGGGAATCAATATGATCAAAACAAGACTACGGAGCAAAAGGGTTCTTGTTGTCCTCGACGATGTCGAAAAGTTGGACCAGCTAAACGCGCTAGCCAGAAGGCGTGAGTGGTTTGGTTCAGGAAGTAGAATTATCATAACAACGAGAGATGCAAATTTGTTGTGCACACTTGAATCGGATGATATATATGGGCCACAAGGGATACAGGTGATCTGATGCTTGTGTTATTTCTTACGTGATCAATTAATGCCTTATCTTATGCCATTGAGTTTCTTATTTTACAGATTTTAAAGGACAAATATGGACAAAATCTTGAAATGATTGAGGGTCTTGAAGAGTTTGTGCGGAAAATGCATTATCAGGTATGTATATGCACAATAAAACTTCTATGATTTATTCATGTGTCTTTCCTCTGGTCTTGTCAGGGTTGGAGCCAAAATGCATCTTAGATTATATTCTTGTCAACCTAAAAATTGTACAAGGGAAATAATAACAGTTTTATCACAGAATGTCATGTTTATACTGGTTAGTTTTGGATTTAGGCTCAAAGAAAAGTGGGATCGCTTATGGCTGAACTAGAAAGGGAGCGGAAAAAGAATGCGCTTCAGGTACATATGCTATTTTAAAAATTCAAGACAAAGATCTTGTAGAGACATCTAATTTTTATATCCTCTTTAGGGACAAATTATAGCCGAAAGCCGAGATCTTGTTCTCCCTTCGGATGAGCGGAAAAAGAATGCGCTTCAGGAACACATGCTATTTTAAAAATCCAAGACAGAGATCTTGTAGAGACATCTAATTGTTATATCCTCTTTAGGGACAAATTATAGCCGAAAGCCGAGATCTTGTTCTCCCTTCGGATGAGCGGAAAAAGAATGCGCTTCAGGAACACATGCTATTTTAAAAATCCAAGACAGAGATCTTGTAGAGACATCTAATTGTTATATCCTCTTTAGGGACAAATTATAGCCGAAAGCCGAGATCTTGTTCTCCCTTCGGATGAGCGGAAAAAGAATGCGCTTCAGGAACACATGCTATTTTAAAAATCCAAGACAGAGATCTTGTAGAGACATCTAATTGTTATATCCTCTTTAGGGACAAATTATAGCCGAAAGCCGAGATCTTGTTCTCCCTTCGGATGAGCGGAAAAAGAATGCGCTTCAGGAACACATGCTATTTTAAAAATCCAAGACAGAGATCTTGTAGAGACATCTAATTGTTATATCCTCTTTAGGGACAAATTATAGCCGAAAGCCGAGATCTTGTTCTCCCTTCGGATGAGCGGAAAAAGAATGCGCTTCAGGAACACATGCTATTTTAAAAATCCAAGACAGAGATCTTGTAGAGACATCTAATTGTTATATCCTCTTTAGGGACAAATTATAGCCGAAAGCCGAGATCTTGTTCTCCCTTCGGATGAGCGGAAAAAGAATGCGCTTCAGGAACACATGCTATTTTAAAAATCCAAGACAGAGATCTTGTAGAGACATCTAATTGTTATATCCTCTTTAGGGACAAATTATAGCCGAAAGCCGAGATCTTGTTCTCCCTTCGGATGAGCGGAAAAAGAATGCGCTTCAGGAACACATGCTATTTTAAAAATCCAAGACAGAGATCTTGTAGAGACATCTAATTGTTATATCCTCTTTAGGGACAAATTATAGCCGAAAGCCGAGATCTTGTTCTCCCTTCGGATGAGCGGAAAAAGAATGCGCTTCAGGAACACATGCTATTTTAAAAATCCAAGACAGAGATCTTGTAGAGACATCTAATTGTTATATCCTCTTTAGGGACAAATTATAGCCGAAAGCCGAGATCTTGTTCTCCCTTCGGATGAGCGGAAAAAGAATGCGCTTCAGGAACACATGCTATTTTAAAAATCCAAGACAGAGATCTTGTAGAGACATCTAATTGTTATATCCTCTTTAGGGACAAATTATAGCCGAAAGCCGAGATCTTGTTCTCCCTTCGGATGAGCGGAAAAAGAATGCGCTTCAGGAACACATGCTATTTTAAAAATCCAAGACAGAGATCTTGTAGAGACATCTAATTGTTATATCCTCTTTAGGGACAAATTATAGCCGAATTACAACAAAGCCGAGATCTTGTTCTCCTTTCGGATGAGCGGAAAAAGAATGCGCTTCAGGTACACATGTTATTTTAAAAATCCAAGACAAAGATCTTGTAGAGACATCTAATTTTTATATCCTCTTTAGGGACAAATTGTAGATGAATTACAACAAAGCCAAGATCTGGTTCTCCCTTCGGATGCACTCTGCATGACAAGGAGTATTGTCGAAAATGGAAGCCAAGCTTATGATTGCATGTCTTTCCTGGTTATGACACATCAATGGATGCTGAATTTGGGAAGGAAATTACACTTTTGGATAGTTTCTTGGTTTCCAAGGAAGGAGAAAACAGAGGATTTGCGAAAGACGTAAACATCATATGCCGTTTAAATTGGTATAAATATTTTGTTTAGCTTTCTACCCCCGTGACATATAAGAGATTGTCGATTATAGGTTGCTAAACAGAACGCCACTACTAAGTCGTCGCTCGTTTCGTGGGTTCTTATGGTTTGAAGCCATGAGTTTGGTTAAGGAAGAAGTACAGATGGGGCAGCAGATTAAGACAGTCATACGCACGGATGGTTTAAAATATCATTAAATTTTTGTTCTGCTTTGTACTCGTGACGTGTAAGAAACTAATATGCCTGTATGAATGGAACTGGTTTACTTCGTTAACTTGAATAATCTGTGATCTGCTCATAAGAACTATTTCAGATTGTAATCTGTATGTTGCTTCTATTAGTAAAAAAACAAACTGTTATGATTTGAAACAATTTATTATGATAAGAGTTCTTGGGAATCATAACAATGAAAACTTCCTTTGGGTAGTCACATTACAGGGTACATCAAAATTGCAAAATTTAAATCCCAATATCACTCACAAATAAAACAGATAGCACTCAAGGCTAACTGGTGGCATAATCAAATTCCTCAAAGTCCCAGGCAAAGATCTTAGGTCAAGTTTTGTATGAGGGAAATAATATAGTAATTTCATAGTATATTCTGCATTGGTACAGGTGAACTTATCATTGAGTGATTTTTTATTTGATCAGCCTCTTGTTTTATGCTCTCAGCAAAAAAAAATAAAAAATAAAATCTCTTGTTTTATGCCACTAAATTTCTTATTTTGCAGATTATAAACGACAAATATAGACAAAACCTTGAAATTATTGAGGCTCTTGAAGAGTTGGAGCAGAAAATGCATTGCCAGGTATGTATGGACACTTTTTGACAGTTTCTTGTTTGCCAAGGAAGGAGAATACAGAGGATTTGCTAAAGGCAGAAAACATGTTCTTTTGAAGTGTAACTTGAGTGTAACTTGAGTGTAGTTTTTGAGTTATAACTTGAGTTGAAGTTGTGACTTTAATAAAGTTAAGTAAAGTTGAATAAAGTTGAAACTTAAAAGAACGTGAACTTGAATAAAATTGTAATTTAAATTTAAACTTTTTTTAAGTTTTGTTGCAAAAGAACAACCCAGACATTCAGTGTAATACTAAGTCAGTTAGAAATTAGTATAGTGATTTTATATAGGAAAAAACAGACTTGTATGACTTGCAACCATATATTCCTGGAAAGCTCGTACAAATCATAAGACTAAAAACTTCCTTTTCTTTCACGTAAAAGGTTATATGGATATTGCCAAATCCAAATTCCATTATCTCCCATAAGAAGAATGGATATCACCCAAAGCTTACTAGTTACATGATCAAATTCTTTAAAACAAACTAAAACTTCATTCATTTCACCAATTTGAGTTTAAAATTTAAGTTTATTACAGTAAAAAGTCTCTCAAAAACAGTCACATCTACCTTTTTTACTACGATAAAAAGCTCTCACATAAAATTACATCTCAACTAAAATTAAAAATTCGAATCAGCGAATTAAACGAGTCATAATAGCTAGTATCTTAAAAATGAGTGCAACTTTCAATCTATCGGCTAAAAACCCGCCCGAACCGCCTAAAAATTGGAAAGTCATGTGTTGGACTTTTCACAAACTGCCCGCCGTGCACCCCTCCATGTCCTCCTCCCTAGCGATTTTCTTTCCAAACCTTAAAGATTTTTCAAGTCCCTCAAGCCAAAAATGCATTGTTTCTAGCTCTCATAAATGTTAAAAGTACGTTTCTTTTCCCGTGGCAGCTTATTCCTAATGTTCCATAGATTGCATAATGTCATTAGTGTATTTTGCATTGATAATGTGCAATGGACAGTAGATTGAACCTTTTTAAAGTTGATATCAGACTTAAAAGGCTTGTTCATTTGCATTTTTTGAGTTAGGATGACTTGAATTCATATCTTAATTTAAATTAAGGTGTATTTGAGTATGGTTTGAGTTGAGAGTCTAATTTGAGTTTGTGTTTAGATGTGCACATTTTGAGTTATGATTTGAATTGATAATCTATTTGAGTTTGTGAAAACTTAAATTTGTATTTGGATAGTATTTTAATAAAAACTCAATAGTGATGGAAAATTGTAATGGGGTATATGGGTGGGGTTTTATTCGTCTCTTCGTTGTTAATGCATAGAAAAAAAAATCATCTCAATCAAAATTAAAACGAAAAAGTTATGGCATTTTTAAGAATAGAAAAAATATTATTCATTAACTTGAGTTTGAATTTAGGAACTTGAGTTGAAAGGAAAATTTAAACTTAGGGCTTGTTCTTTTGAAGTTTTTGAGTTAGGTAACTTGAGTGTAGATTTTGAGTTTAGTTTGAGTTATAACTTGAGTTGAAGTTGTAATTTGAGTTTGTGTTTGGTTATGTACATTTGAGTTATGGTTTGCGATAAGAATCTTTTTGAGTTTGTGTTTGAGTGAGTCAAAACTTGAATTTGTATTTAGATAGTATTTTAATAAAAATTCAATGCTGATAAAAAATTTTAATATGGTATATGGATCGGGTTTTATTCGTCTTTTCGTTGTCAACACATAGAAAAAAAATTCATCTCAATCAGAATTAAAACGAAAAAGTTATAGCATTTTTAAGAATAGAAAAAATACTGTTCATTAATTTAAGTTCGAGTTTCTAAACTCGAGTTGAAGGTGAAACTTGAACTTGAGTTTTAGTCCTAAACTCGAGTTCAAACTTAAAAGAACGTGAACTCAAATAAAGTTGTAACTCGAGTTACTTTTTTTGAGTTTTTCACTCAAAAACACCCTAGTCGAACAGCCCCTTAGATTTTAGCTCTAAATTCAAGTTCAAACTTAAATTTTATAAAAAAATATGAACTTAAATAAAGTTGTAACTTGAGTTCAAATTTTTTTAAAATTTATGTGTAAATTTTACAAATAAGATAGTAATTCTTTTCAAAAAAAAAAAGAAAAAAGAAATAGTAATTATAAGGGTATCTTACTTTATGCTCATCTGAGGTACGATGCAATGAGTTCATCCATATGCTCTAGGCATAGGCTTTAGGCTTACAAATGTCTACAAGAGTATGTCAGAAGGTATGGGCAATGGATTCAAGTGGGAAGTGTAGAAAGGACGAATCTTCATCCGCAACTTGAGGAAATGTACTTTTTCTCTCAATCCGCCTCCCCAAAAAAAAGAATAAAATAAGAATAAAAAAGAAGAAGGAAGAAGAAATTGAGGGGGGAAAAAAAGAGACTTTAGAATTACGGAATATTAGTATATGTTTAGTTCATAAATTTAGAATTATAATTTAAAATTATTTTTATTTTATGTATTTTTTTTTATGAGAGAAAAATATTATACAAAATTATAAATTATAATTTAGAATTATAAACGAATACAGAAAATAAACATCCCCTAATGTGAAAATGAGTTGGTTTGTGTATGATTAGAAAAAAAAACCTTTCAAAAGTAAGACTTGGTAGA